CTGGGTATGGTGATGCCTTTTTAGACACAACACCACAGACATGATCCATGAAAGAAATAATTGATAAGCTGGACTTCATTAAAATTAACAACTTCTGTTCTGCAAAAGACGGTGTCAAGAGAATGAGAAGATAACCACAGACTGGGAGAAAAAAATTGTACAAGATACATCTGATAAAACTCTGTTACCCAAAATATACAAAGAACTCTTAAAAATCAACAGTAAGAAAACAAGAAATCTGATTAAAAAATGGGCCAAAGACCTTAACAGACACTTCACCAAAGAAGATATATGGATCACAAATACACATCTGAAAAGATGCTCCACCCGTAAGTCATCAGAAAAATGCAGATTAAGTCAACAATGAGATACTACTACAAATCTACTTGAGTGGCCAATATCCAGAACACTGACAACACCAAATGCTTTTAAGGCTGTGGAGAAACAGGAACTCTCATTGCTGGTGCAAGTGTAAAATTCTACGGCCACTTTGGAAGTTTCCTACAAAACTAAACACACTCTTACCATACTATCCAGCAATTGTGCTCCTTGATATTTACCCAAAGGAGTTAAAAATTTATATCTACAGAAAAACCTGCATACAGATGTTTATAGCAGCTTTGTTCGTAATGTCAAAACCTGGAAGCACTAAGATGTCCTTCAGTAGCTGAATGGATAAATACGCTGTGGTACCGTGGTACATGCAGACAATGGAATATTATTCAGCATTAAAAAGAAATGAGCTATCATACCATGAAAAGACATAGAGGAACCTTAAATACTTATTATTAAGTGAAAGAAAGAGTCTAAAAAAGCTACATACTACATGATTCCAATTCTATGGCACTCAGGAAATGGCTAACTATAAAAGGAAAAAAACAGTAAAAAGATCAGTGGTTGCCAGTGATTAGGGAGGACAGGGGGGATGAATATTTATCCAAAGGAGTTAAAAATTTATGTCCACATAATTTATGCTTCACATATGTGGAGCACAGAGGAATTTTAGGGCAGTGAAATTGTTCTGTACGATACTGTAATGGTGGATAAATATTGTTAAACATTCATCCAACCCATAGAATGTCCAACACCAAAAGTGAGCCTTAATGTAAACTATGGGCTTTGGTTCATGATGTTTCAATGTAGGCTCATCAGTTGTCACAGATGTACCACTCTGGTGGAGCATGTTATTAGTGGAGGATTCTCTGCAAGATTGGGGGCAGGGGGTATATGGCAAATCTCTGTACTTTCTGCTCAATTTTGTTGTGAACCTAAAACTGCTCTAAAAAGTAATGTCTATTAAAAATCATTAAATGAATTAATATGTTACAGTGGAAAATATTTGCTTAATGCAAAAGAGACTAGTAAAAGAGGAACGGAGGAACGAAAACACAGCAGGATCAATGGCACCTCTAAGCACAAACCTGGCTCTGGGGTGCTCAAGAGTGTGCCTTGGGGCTAAGAGTTTTGATCTCCTGCACATAGTTGATCTGCAAGAGATCGATGTTAAAAAGTTGGGGTTTAAAGCCTAGAACTTCAAACTTTCCTCCAGTAGAGCTTCAAAGTGTGTGTTCTGTGGCTGACAGTCTCCACTTTTGGTTTGGGAAGACTAGATATCATTTTTACTCTTATTATATTGGCATATTTTACCTCTCAGAACTAAATTGGTCACTACATTTTTTTAGTATCTCTAGTTATTATGTTTGCTATGTCAAATGCTACCTGGCAAAGATGGAGCATGCTGATATAAAGCAGGATAACAATAAAATGTACATCAATAGTTCATTGCTGCCAAGTTAATTTACTATTTTTTCATACACACATGATAGACACAGAAACAGTTTGATTACGGAGATCATCTGGTTGCCATTTCCCAGCCAATCGCGCCTTGGAAAAATAACACCTGGGAATATTAGTTGGTTGAATACAAACCAGAGAGGCCCAAACTATAAGCAATGTTGCATTCAGGCTCTCTTGGCATATGAAGCAAAAGTAAGAAGACTTAAGAAGTTAACAAAGGAAATAGAGCTAGAAATAAGCTTTACTTATTTCGTAGATTGCCAAGGATTAATCCTAAATCCTATCAAGCTTTTGAATAATGAACTAAATCTCTCTGAAACTTCATCCAATATACATTCCTAAAATAAGATCAAAACACACATAATTATGCTTTGGAAATCACACTACTGCTAATTTTAAACCTGGATAATGAAAGTATAATTTGAGCTACGCTCTCTGTTTTCTGATGAAAATTCAAAATAAATCTTGAGTAAAGTCGAGAAGTATTATAGCTAATGCTTCTCTTTCATGTATCAAGTTTGTCACTCCCATAAAAGAAAATTAGATTAGGTTGACAGGACTTATTCTTTACCTAGGTATGTTTATTTATAGGAATCATGATATTTCAGAGCTGAAACATGCTTTGAAGAGCATCTGGTGAAATTGTCATTCTTCCCTAAGCAAGATAAATGATTTTTAAAACTGTATAAGTGTAAGCACCACACATTCATATGTTCGGGAATCAGTGGAAAAATAATGTTACTTTTGACTGACTCAATATAATCACACGTTGTCCAATGCAATACATAATTTGCACCATTATTTCCTGAGACATTTACCAAAAGGAACTTGAACCTAGCAGTCTAAGAAACTGTGTGTCAGGTCAAAACCTTCTTAATTCTTTGATGCTAAAATTTAAATGTTTTGATTGATACTTTAGACTGAGACACATATTATTCACCAGTAATCAAATACATTAAAAACACATAATTATTCTCCTTTTCCAAATTCCATGTTCTTTTGACTCACTTAATTGAAGATATCTAATATGGTTTCTTTCCTCCTTTTAATCACCTCAAAAATATTAATGTCCTAATAGATTAGCAAGGCTAAGATACTATTTTTTATAGAAAATAGCCCTGAAAGTGAAGCATGGACCAAGATTGAAATTTTGGATACAAAATGGGGAACCCATGATAAATCCAAAACATCCACATTTAAAAGAAAATTGCTTCCATACGATAAATACATTGAATTCAGAAAAGATCAATTCCCAATTTTTTACAAGTTAGTTTACTACTTGCCTTCTATATATGTACTGTTTGCCAAAAAATGACATTTATACATCATTAGGAAAAATGTTTTATGAACAAAAGTGCAATGACTCATTTAATTTTTAAAGCAAGAGAAAAATATATATTCATCTAAACATGGGCTAAACACTATCTCAGGAAGTAATAAATAAAATATAAAAATATAAAAACAATGAGGCTGGTCCGGTAGCACAGTGGGTAAGTTCACATGCTCTGCTTTGGTGGCCCAGAGTTCCCCAGTTCAGGTCCTGGGTGTGGACCTATGCACTACTTGTCAAGCCATGCTGTGGCAGGCGTCCCACATATAAAATAGAGGAAGATGGGCATGAATGTTAGCTCAGGGCCAGTCTTCCTCAGCAAAAAGAGGAGGATATGAGCTCAGGACTAATCTTCCTCAAAAAAAAAAAAAAAAAGAAGAAGAAAGCATAAAAACAAGCACTGGAAAGAAATTTGAAACAAATTCAGGAAGGTGTTTCTGGTCTTACCAAATTTAACGGGTTCGTTAGAGAATCTCAGTTTTTGAAGCACAAACCTGCCTCTAACGCTGTTTACTTTTCTCCAATAAGAGAACTCTCTGTACAGCGCTGAGCTGAATCTCACTTTTCTGTTACGTAGTCACTTCCTCAAAGGGCATCTTCACCAGAGTCCCTAACTTCTCCACCATATTTTTGTCACTAGAACAGTCACATTACAGAATTTACAACTCAGACCCATTCTTTTAGAACTTTAATTTCAAACTTAATTCAGAAGTGTTGTCCTCCTCCTGGCACCATATCCCTCACTACAGTTAGGACTCTGTAGGCGTGAGGTGGAAATATTTCTTTCAAACACGTCCTCTTTCCTTATAATCTTGGTACTCGACCCTCCTCTGTTGGACTAGGAGGAGAGACAGGCAAGGTTACAAACCTCTCTCTGTTGTTTGTGGCTGTCCCGTCTCTTGTGGGGCGATAGTGATTCCCTACAGAAGGAGATCTAAGGTTCTGAACCACCAAGAAAGCTCCTCCTGAGTTGGCGTCTTAGTCGGTTTGGGTTGCTGTGGCATCAGAGACTAGGTGGCCTAACAACCACCTCTCGTTTCTCACAGTTTTGGAGGCTGGCAAGTCCGAGATCACCATGCCCGCAGATGCAATGTCTAGGAGAGCCCTCTCCTGTTCTGCAGATAGCTGCCTTCTTGCTGCGTCCTCACCTGGCCAGGCCCTCTTCTCAGGGCACTAATCCCATTCACGAGGACTCCACCCCCATGACGCCATCACCTCCCAAAGGTCCCACATGCAAACAGCCTCACACTGGGGACTCGGTCTTCAACATACTAATTTGGGGGGATGTAAACATTCAGTCCATAGCAGTTGGCATCTCTTATTTAGCAGGCTCTCAGAGTTGGAAAAATTGTACAAAATGACTCAACGCCACCTACACTTTTTGTGTGCACATACTCCAGGAAATCCACACATCGTGGCCAGACAGCCTCACTGCGGGTGTCCCTAATGTCAGCCTCGCCTATTCTCTGTCATGGTGTCTTCCACAGATAACGTGCAGCACAGATGCAGATATGCAAACTTGCTGCTTAAGTACCTGCTCGACCCAGAGAACAGGAAAAAAGGACTGTAAGCTCTCGCCACATTTTTCCTTTTTAGTTTGCTGCTTACATTGACAGTCAGGGAGGGGCACCAGGGAGGGCTGTGGGGAGACACAGAGGCAGGTGGGAGTGAGGCCAGTTCTGAGATCACTCATCAAGCCAGTACGGGATGATTTTTAATAAGAAACAGGTCCAATTCAAAGTCAACATTGAATGAATTAGGGAAACACTCATACGAAGAAATGTTATATAAAACTTGAAAACTATGAAAAACTGCAAATTCCAATAATATCATATTATGTAAAGAAAATGATCCGAAGTTGCATTAAACTCACCATGACCTGGAGGAAATTTTTTCCATTTGATGAGTCCAACTAGCTCATATATGGATAAAGTAGGCCACTCCTCATAATACGGACACTGACGAATTAATTTCACTTTTTGTTTATTTTCCAGTTTCTTTTCTTCCTATAAAAAAGTCATCCAATTTTCTATATCAGGTAATTTAAAAAGAAGATAAAAAAAGGACAGCAAATAGATAACTGGCAGTAAAATAAAAATAAAAATAATGTTAATGTAAATTAGAATAAAATACATTTGAATTTTATAAGAGAATCATTCTATGACTACATAACCATATTGAATTTTTAATCTTCAGATCTGCTATGAAAATTTTATCTTCCCACCTTTCGTAATACTTTTGGACTTCTATAAATGTTTCAGCACTTTTAAAAAACCTGTCATATTTAAGACTAAACTCAAAATTTGTATTTGATAATATCAAATAAGTGATACAAATATTTTGAAAATAAAAGTGAAACACTAAAAACACTTTTTTTTTTCTTTTGAGGAAGATTAGCCCTGAGCTACCATCTGCTGCCAATCCTCCTCTTTTTGCTGAGGAAGACTGGCCCTGAGCTAACATCCGTGCCCATCTTCCTCTACTTTATATGTGGGACGCCTACCACAGCATGGCTTGCCAAGCAGTGCAATGTCCGCACCTGGGATCCGAACCGGCGAACCCCCGGGCCACCGAAGCAGAACGTGTGAACTTAACCGCTGCACCACTGTGCCGGCCCCTAAAAACACTTCTTTTAAAAGCAGGCCACTCTGAAACCAGGAATATGGAAGGAAGCTGAATTCTGAGAAAGTCTTCTCTACCACTGGCACTGAGACCATCGTATCAAAGAAAAACCCAACTATTAACGACCTAAATCATGAAGATGGATGTCTCATCTCTCTCCAGTGTGAGCACCTACGTGGCTGACACCAGTGTTCTGAGGTGCCTGCACCAGCGTAGGCCCTGTCCAGAGGAGCCAGCAGAGCAGGACATGGGTCCTCCCAGTCCCGTCATCTATACACACGTCCTCTGCCATCCCAAGGAAGAGAAACAGAGGAGAGGCAAGATTCTGGATTTGACTAAAAGAGAATAAATTGTTAAACTTGAAGTACAGAAGTTATCTTAACAGAGCAGAATTAGGGGTCAGAATTTACTTGTGATCACCTATTCATGCGGCTCTGGGTTTGTTGTCTAGCTATGAAACAGCCTGCTAGTCACCCCCAAGTGTTCTTTTCCCCCCGAGATAGACTGTAGAGATTTAGCGATATTCCGGCATCTCTGAGACATAACATGCTTTTGACACCCAAAACATACATTGTTGAATGAATGAATGAATTTTAAATTCATGAAAAACCAAAAGAACTCAAAAATAGTCATAAAATATATCCAGAGAGACGTTTCTTTCCACTTCAACTATCCGTCACCATTAGAGGCTTAAGTGATGTTCATCGATAAACCACGTATTTATGGTTTCCAGGACAAGTCAAATTAAAAAATAAAAGGAATGTGGATATCTTCTGTCCAGAGAGGCAAAACGTAGCATGAGTTTATACTCATATTGTGCTAATATATAGATTATATTTGGTCATACCAGTTTTAACTTTGTGCAATCCTTTGCAGGAATTCTAAGAATTTCACAATCTTCTTCCATCACCACTGCGTACTTTGCTATGGATTCAGTCTGAGCTATAACTTCCAAGGTACCAAAGGTGCTCCATTGTCCAAGCTGCAAAAACACCAAAGGCAACTTAAGTTTCATTATCACACATCAGCATAAAAATACCAGTGATGGTAAAAGAAGCAGCCTAGGAGAGTCTGCAAAAGACAGAATTATAGGTCAAGCTCCACATGTATGAAAGAAGGGGATCTGGACAGTCTTGCACGGATGTCCTACTTCTTCTGCCCAACGTCACTTCTCCAAAGCAAGAGAAGCAATTCCACTTTTTTCACTAGCATAAAGAAAATACCTTATAAGAATAGGTCTTCTGTTTTCCTCACTGATTCATTTAAGTACCTAGAATAGTGTTTGGTACATAGTAGACATTCGATAAATATTTGTTGAAAGAATGAAGAAAATAATACACTTATGTACAGGGTCGTCTGTTTATTTTATTATCCTCACATGTTGGTAATAATAATGAAAATGAATATAGTGTTATGCAGTGTATAAGTCACTACCAGATATATGTATTCATGTAGAGTCTAATTTAATATGTGAGAGACAAATTAAGCATGGCAAACATGTTACCATTAGAATACATATTGTAAGTTATTAGGATGGAGTGAGACCACATACACTTACGTACAGGTCTATACTCATGTTTGCCTGGGAAAAACTGGAGCATGTGTAAGGGATAAGAGATTGAGAAGCTTCTTAGGGAAAACGTTAGGTCAACATGGCTATCTAAGAGGATATGGGTGGACTTCCAGTCTTCCACTTCAAATCCATAAAAAGGCTGAATATTATTCTTTTTAGCTGACTGAATAGCTGAGCTTGAATCTGAAAGTCCAGAAATCAAAAGGGAATTTAAACAGTCACTGCTGAAGCCAAAGCGATCCACAGTAATATCAGAGTGAGATGAAGACCTGAGTGGTAGAGTTTTGCGGCTTGTCACACATGTGGGAAGAGATGAGGCTCAGGACCACACAAGTTGAGGAACTGGAGTAGAGCCGCGTTGCCTGAAGCCTAGGAGTTTGGAGAACTGCCCCTTCCGTGAAATGGAGACAACAAAAACTCCACCCACTAATCTAGCCATGGAGCTGGGTACAACTGTCACAAAATCAGGATCCTAGGTCTGCAACCTGTGTGGGTACGGAATATATATTTACACATAGTACAGCACTCAAAGCTGAAAAATTAATGTAAAGCCTGGTACGCAACTGGAAAAACCCCAGGAGCCAGGAAAGTGCAAACTTCAAATTTGATATATGAATTCAGAAGAAAAGGAACTGCCATAGAAAGCAATTCCTGCTAATAACAGCATCACGATATAAAACATTACCATCCACGCAAGTGAACAAATCGTTGTGAGGGAAAGTCAAAAAACAGAGAAGAAGAAGAAAAAATTTAACAGCCTGAAAGGAACTCTATACAATTAATATATTTAGACCATAAAAGCAGAGCATGACATTATGAAAGCAAAAAGAAGCATTTTGTAAAAGAAACAAAATTAAACTTCTAAAAGTAGAAATTAGAGTTATTGAAAGATAAACTCAGTGGACACATTAATTAGTAGATTGAAGAAAAAATGTATGCCATGGATAAAACTATGAGAAAATCATCCAGAATAAAGCATATAAAATATAGAAGGAATAGAAATAAGGAGGAGATTTTAACAGATATGGAAGGAAGATGGAATATATCAAAATAAAAAAAGAATGCGTATATCAGCATAAATCTACTAGAATTTCTAGAACAAATAAAAAAGAATGGGAGAGAGGTGATACATAAGTGATAATGGCTGCAAACTTTCCAGAACTGAGGGAAGAGGTGAGTCTTGAAAATGAAGGAGCATATATCCTTGTGTTTTACACTCTTGCTCAGGTTCTGGTGTACTCTCTTAATTTTTCTCCCTGTGTCATCTTATTAGCTATCAGTAATTTCAAGCAGATGTCTTTTACATGTATTTTTCCAAATTTTCTAATTGTCGCTGGTATAAGACTTACTCTGAGTTACCGAATAAACCACTATGAAAGCAGAAGTCCTCTATGACTTTGAACAACATTCTTAGGGCTTTCTTTCTTGAGTCATTAACCAATATCACCTGACTTCCTAATATTATTAGGAAAGTACTAAACTTCCAACACCCTTTACACATCCAATTACTTAGCTGAATTATTAAAAAATTAATTAATATTTATATTTCCACTCTGTTTTATAATTATGATCATCGTAAAAGTGTTCAAAAAATAGCCTTCAAACTAGAATTCTTTATTTACTTAAGATAGCAATATACAGTGATGGTAAAACAAGCAACAAGATGTTAATTTTAGACATTATGTGAAACAAATTAATAAAGGTGAATTTTAGGTAGAATATTGAATGCAAAGAAAAGGAGTACAAGTAAGTTGATTAAAAAATTGGTAAATTTAAGTAGAATTTATGGATATATAATAATTTAAAAATAACTAATATGGGGTGTCTTTAAAAGAAGATAGATTTAAAACATGTTTACAACAAGTCAAAGAGAGGAGCAGGAAGATAGAATTTAAGTATCTGAGAATCTTTATACTCTGGAACTAGAGAAGAAAAAGATTATGTAGCTTTTCTTAGTTTAAATTGCAAATTTAATAACACAGAAATTGGAGTTTTGTAGATGGAAAAAGAAAACAATGACGCAAAAATAAAGTGATGGAATTTGTATGTACCTAAAATATCTAATAAACATCTATCATCTGACTTAAAGAATATGAACAACAAAAGCATACAATTATAGCAAATGGCAAATTATTTAAAAAAATAATTTCTGGGGGCTGGCCCAGTGGCATAGTGGTTAAGTTCACACACTCAGCTTCAGCAGCCTGGGATGTGGGTTTTGGATCCTTGGTGCGGATCTACACACAACTCATCAAGGCATGCTGAGGCAGCATCCCACATAAAATAGAGGAAGACTGGCACAGATGGTAGCTCAGCAACAATCTTCCTCAAGCAAAGAGAGGAAGATTGGCAATAGTTGTTAGCTCAGTGCCAATCTTCCTCACCAAAAATACTAATAATGATTTGTAGGAGAGAACAACCAAATATACCATACACAAAAGAAGCATGTTCAACCTTCCTAGTAGATGGAGAATTGTACATGGCACACATTTATTCATCCATCAGCCTGAAAATATTGAAGTACTTTAACCTACGAAACTGGGGAGATACGTCATACATAACTCAAGAAACTGTAAAAACCTTTAAAAATGGGAAAGAATCTGGTAATATTTACTGAAATAAACAGAAAGTGCATGCAGTACTTTATGCAGAAACCCATCGCCTAGGAATTTATCTTATAGAAATAGCGCATTCTTTTTTTTTTTTAATAATTTTTGTTTTCTTGGTGGGCACCTGGGCTAACAACTGTTGCCAATCTTCTTTTTTTTTTCCTGCTTTATTTCCCAATCCCCCCTCCCCCCCCCCGTACATAGTTGTATATCTGAGTTGCATGTCCTTCTAGTTGTGGGATGTGGGACGCCGCCTCAACGTGGCCTGACGAGCAGTGCCATGTCCGCGCCCAGGATCTGAACTCTGGGCCGCCACAGCGGAGCGCACGAACTTAACCACTTGGCCACGGAGCCGGCCCCGAAATAGTGCATTCTTAAGAATATATTTACAAGAAGTTTAATGCAGCACTTTTTAGTAACCCCCAACTGGAATCTTCTTTAATGGCCACCAACTTAGATTGATAGAGAGAGAGAGAGAGAGAGAGATAAATACAATGCATGTAGTATGTGTATGTATGCATGTATATACATATGTTTGCACATATATATTCAACCAAGTCTAAATTTTAACATAGTGTTAAACCTTCATGACATTTATATATCTTAACCTGTAAAAATGTTTATGATGAAGAAAACAAGCAGCACATGAAAACGTATGTTGAAAATCAATTTTGATAAATTGAATAATTACAAAAACAGTAATCTGTATAAGCGCGTACAATTTGTATACATGCTAGGGTCAGTTCAGAGAAAGATGTGCCTGTGCAGATGGCAGGCTACTCAGAGGAGACATTGAGCTAAAACAAGAGATTTAGTAACTTTTTCTGCAGACCTCCTTGCAGATTTTTCAATGACAATAATGAGTGGGTATTAAATTTTAAGTTTTAGACATTTTTAAAGACATTTAAAATGCAGGTTGAAATCTACATGCTGTGTTGTTTTCCATACCTGTGTCATCTCTCTGAATATCTTCATACTGATATGTAAACTATCTTACATGATATACGTCAAATGTTTACATTCTTATCTCTGGCTGATGGAACTGCAGATAATTATCATTGTCTACTTTACACCTCTCTGTATTTTCTGAATTTTTCGATAAATTCAGAAGAGCAGTTTTGAAATCAGGCAACATTACAAAGCAATTTAAATGACTTACAACTCGATCTTTTCTCAACTATTTGGAAAACGTCATACATTAAGGCTAGACAGACAATCCTATTTTGGTGGAGATTGTTGGTGAAGTTGCACAAAAGGAATGATTTCTCCAACTTCTAAATTTTCACGTCATTTTACTAAAAAGTAAATCGATAGCTAACTTTATTCGGAAATGATGTATTCCCACGATTAAAAATTTTTGAACTTCTCTACTGATACATGACCCAATTTGCCTCTGAATGATGAGTAGTAAATCAATTAAGATTTCTTTTGAATAAAAACATCATGTTGAGGTTTGTTTTAAATTGCATTTACAAAAAATGAGCTTTTCTGAAAAACAGAAGGCTTTTATAGGTATAATTTTTGTTCTCCTTCTATTATTTTTCCATTGCTCCTAGCTTCTAGACATTTATACATTAAACAAGCTCAATGACTAAAATTAGAGCTGCTATTTTTAAATCAATGAAAGGTCTTGTTCTTAACCCTATGGAACATATTTTCTTTTTTCTAAGGGGCTGAAGAGGAGGTCAGAAAAAGCACCAAACCTTTTCAGATCAGGGGTTCATAACCCAGTCCAAGGATGGACCTTTAGAAGAGTCTTAAACTTATACATTATGCCACAGTGAGTGATTACTTATGAAT